CCGCCAGCCTCAGCTCAGGGGCTGCAAACTCGCCCGCGGGATGCTCGGGGGTCCCCAACCCAGGGTGGGGGTTGGGGATCCAGCCCCGAGGCCCCCAGGGAACAGCCCCACACGCGGGAAGCAGAGAAGGGATGGTTCGGAGTCAAGCGACCCCACAGGACTCATCCAAGTCCCCGCAGCTGTGCCTGCACGCCCCCACGCCGCCCACCCTGGCAGCCCCTCCGCTGCTTCTTCACCCCCAGGAGCAGGAGGAGGAGGGGGAGGAAGGCATGGGGGGATCTCACCATTTCCTCCTCTCCCACAGATGCCGCAGCCCGGCATGGGCTCAGCGGCCCCGCAGCCCTCAACCCCAGCGCAGCACCCACCGCGCACCCCGGGGCTGCCAGCGCGGAGGTGACAGCGGGGACGGGGCAGGGTGCGCGGCAGCCCCAGTCCCACGCGTGTCCCAGCGCCCGCAGCGCGGCCGCGATGCAGGATGCGCAGTTCCCCCTGCCGGCACCCGGGCGCAGCGCCCACGGGTCCCACGTCCCCAAAACCCCAACCTGGCACGAGGCACACGCGCCGGGGAGGAAATCCTGGCAGCAGGCACATGAACATCCTGGCACATAAACAGCCACTTATCATAACGGCAATTTCAACTCCCCAATTGGGAGCAAAGGGATTCTGCAAGGACAGAACCTCCCCAGAGAATAACCTGGGGGAGCTCAGCCACTTTGGTGGAAAAAAAGAGCAATTTCAAGACATCAGGAGAGGGGCTGCCCAGTCCGGAGCACCGGGGTGTTTCTTCGCAGCCACGCAAGCAAGGAAGAGAGACTGGGTGACGCATTAAGTGTCTTTAATCCAAAGGACTGAAGAGCAGACCGGGAAGATTAGTATAAGCCAACAGACAAAAAATAAAATTAAAAAAAAAAAAAGGGATAAAAATCGGATTTTAAAACAAATTAAAATTCCATACAGTGTCTAAAAGATCGCTTTAAAACTAAACATTGCCTTAAAAAAATTTTTTTTTCCCCATTCAAACACATTTAACGCAGTGAAACATCGTGACAAATAATAATAATAATAATAATAATTCATGGACTAAAGACTTCAGAGCAGCCATCCTGCTCCCGGGAGCGGAGGATCGCTCCCAGCCCCCCCGGGAGCCGGCAGCAGGAGCAGTTCCCCCAGCAGAAGTCGCACCGGCGGGGGCATCGCAACCCCCAGCCCCGGCCAGGGAGGGGGCAGTGCTGCCGTCCCG